AACGGCGTTGCAATGGTTACTAAAAATAGAAATATCTGTGAAATTCCTTGAAAACGTTACTCCTCCTACAGTTTTGGTCTGATTTCAGTATAACTTGGCACACAAGTAGACTACACTAAGATACATAATTTAGTGCATCATTTTTTTTTTAAATTTTGATGAATGGTGTTGCCATGGTTACGGTTACTATATAACTTGGCACTAAATTAGATTACACTAAGATACATAATTTAGTAATCGGTTTTTGATTTCGATGAATGATGTTGCCATAATCACTAAAAATAGAAATTCCTGTGAAATTCCTTTCAAACGCTACTCCTCCTACAGTTTTGGTCTGATTTCAATATACATTGGCACGCAAGTAGACTACACAAAGATATATGTAAATCACTTTGTGCATCAGTTTTGGATTTCAATGACCGGTGATGCGATGGTAGCTAAAAATAGAAATTTCTTTCTATGCTTTCAAAATGCTACTTCTCCCACAGTTTTGATCTTATTTCAATTTTATTTTGCACTCAAGTTGCTCCAAAAAGAGCCTTATTCAAGGATCATTATTATACCGGTATAATATTTATTGCTGTTGTAAAGTTTCAAGTCCATTGAATGGCTACTTTTCTCTTCATTTGTTATAAGTACAAACCAGTAGAGCTACAGTCTCGACAGAGACTTCTGGTTTTAACTTTACATCATTTTTTGCAAATTTTTGGAAATAACATTATTTTAGCTTTAAGCAACGCATTCCATTTATACTTTTTGGGGATTGACAAGTTACTAAGCGTCTTCTTGCATTTTTTTCAAGTAGTATCCTTAATGCTTACATTATGAGGAATTCAAGTATCCCCAAAATTATACAAACATCTTGAAGGTGAATGGGTTCTTGTTGACTCAAATTACCCCCTCAGAGATTTTTTTTAATGACACCATTCGAAAATCCCTCTACTCAGTAGGAAAAACATATCATAATGTAAATTTTGAATTTACCGGGTGGCAGTAAATTCAACTTGAGAACATGAAAAACAGTACAACTAGACCCACTGCCAAACCAGAAATGTGGCGGAAAAGGCTTTTGCTGTACTGAAGTCAAAATTTAGATAGTGTACATTTCTATGTGATTGATGTTACTGCTGTTCTTAAACACTACTTGATAATGTCCCTCAATAATGTTACAATGTGCCATTGATAATTGCAGATGCCTTCACATAGTGGGGGATGTCTTCCCCTCAATTCTTCTGAATACTCACTTGTCATTGCGACTTGTCTCAGATTTAACATTAAAGCTGAACACGATTCGTAAAAAGAATTCGTCCGCCATATCTCCTCGATCTCTCGCTATATCTGCGGGCCCCTGTAAATAGAGGTGGTCACTTAATCACTGCTCAGTTTAATGAATTTTAACCAGTGTACACGGACGTTTGCTACAAGGTGGTACTGTTGTCATCCAAAATAATATATGTAACTTTGTTCATGGAGGAGCAGTTCCTCGATCAAACGGGATAAAATACTTCAAATTGCATTAAGATTTCAGGAGAAAGAGGAAAATCTTTGGACTTAACATATTTGAAATGCAATTTCATTAAAGTAGCTTCATTACTTTGATATTTTTAAGTTCCACAAGTTAATATTATACTACGAATATATTTTACAAACAAAAAAACTAGGCACGAAAGTACGTTTAAGTACATGTTATTGAACTTTTTTGTCATATAATATGATGTATATTTCAAATATAAATTTTAAGTTTTCAGTAATGTTAAAATGTTTTTCTTTTTTAGCTCACCTGAGCCGAAGGCTCAAGTGAGCTTTTCTGATCACATTTTGTCCGGCGCCCGTCTGTCTAGTTGTCCTTCTGTCTGTAGGTCTGTAGGCAAACTTTTCACATTTTCGACTTCTCCTCAAGAATTGCTGGGCCAATTTTAACCAAACTTGCCATAGAGCATCCTTGGGTGAAGGGGATTCAAGTTTGTTCAAATGAAGGGCCACGCCCTCATTCAACGGGAGATAATTGGGAATTAATGAAAATTTGGTGGTATATTTTAAAAATCTTTTTCTCCAGAACCACTATGCCAGGAAATATGCCTCAATTAATTTGAATGTATAACAAAGGAAAAGAAAGGTAACACTTGAACGTGAAACTTTGCAACAGAAATAAACAAAATTATAGTATGTGCAGGGTCTCCATCATTTCAAATTTAACTGAAGCGCAAGAATTGCGCGAAGTACTAATATTCGCGGTAATTTCGCGACCAATTCGCGAAGGTATCCCAAAATAAACTGAAAAACACACAGCACATATGAGTCAGTATTCAAATACAAATAACAATAATTATTTGGCAAAATGCTTGGAGAATTTAAAAATTATAATTAAAACAGTATAGGCCCAAATCGATTTAACATAGTGTAAAACAAAAATTAAATTATTTCCACAATATATAGTAAATACTATGAAAAAGACCACCTTCCCAAACACATATAAGTGCTAAGTAAATAGATATTTGCCCCATAAATCTGAAAAATCTATAAGTAAAAGCATGTTTTAAGTTAATTTAACAAATTATTATTTGATTTTTATAATACACATACAGTGTTCATTAAAGATCGTCGGAGGAAATTCTGGAAAGTCAAATAAGAAACAAACGAAGTTTTCAATCGCAACTTCCCGGGCCTTTCCGACTAGCGGAAAAACGACCTCGAATGTATATGGTAGACGAAATAACAACCTTTTCACGATCTTTGAAATAAATGCATGGAGACCTTTTATCTATGGAATATGGGGTTTAACTTTATTCAATGTAATGATATTACTTGGAATATACTATAGAAGGGACTTCTAAATCCGTCTATCATACATTTGAATAAACAGGAAGATGTATAAATTTGTAACATCCGGTGATGTTAATACTGAGTACATTCGAGGTTGTTTATCCGACCTCTGACGGAAAGACCCGAGATGATGCGATTGACGAAGTTTTGACTCGCAGTGCAAGTAAAATATTAGAGACATGGTTAATTGTAGAACTATTTATTCATAAACTAATTGATATTCAAAATTTCCTTTGCAATTATCGTGAATTGTGAAAAAATGGCTTCATGGTCCAGCGAAGTCTAGAAGATAATTGATTGTGTTAGCCAAAAAAAAAAAGGGCCGTAATTAGAGTAAATTAACAGTTTAGCATTAGAAACTGAAAAAGGTACAAAATTTTGAGGTTAAGAAGTGTATTTGATATTTAAAAAATCATAATATTTATCGTACTGACAACGACGACCTTACTGTGGCGGGGCCGCCACGTTGAATGGCCCATTGAGAACCCTGATGTGTACTTAACGAGGTTGGATCCTTTTATTTAAAGTCCGAAACTTTTCGTCAAGTATATTTTTTGTTTCTACACACATACCTTAATTAAAAATTTTTTAAACATCACATCTTCGACGTTTTCTCTCCAGGGTGTTGATTCAAATAAATCATCAGACAAAATAAACTATTATTCTATTTTAAAGTAGACACTTTCACAATTGTGACTAAGAAAAGTTTCAAATTGCTTCGCATAATCAATTATTGGACCTTTCTGCACTCACAAAATAAGATTTGTCTGGTATTGAAAATTTTACGTTACAAAATTATTTTAAAGTTTCAAACTTTAGTTAAAGTTAAGCAGATTGATCAAAAATATTCTATATATTTAGAAAATAAAACAAAAGTGGGGGTCATTTATGTAAATTTTTAGACACTACTTAAAAGATGTTATGCTAAAATCGACTCAATTTTTTCCTGGACTTTCAGAATATTATTACTATATTTGTAACAATAAGAAGAAAGAATTCATAGTAAATAATTTGATATTTCTGAACCATCATGAAACATTTTACTAAAAGAAAAAAAAACAACACTTAGCCACTGTGTGCAACCAGCATGGGAAAATAATAATCTAATAAAAATTAACAGAACTATATATATTTCAAAAGAGAAACTTGTCATATTCTACTTCTTAAAAACCTTCCGTCACAAAATATAGTTCCGACGATTTGAATGGAATTTAATCTCGGTTTTATTATTGGATATAGAAAAACATGAATTGCAGAATCCTGATTTCATGTAAGAACTTAAATATGACGCAAAATTTTAAGAAATAAAAGTCCAGATAAAAATCTGATCAAAGGCTCAGGATAGAACCTCATTATTTAATAATACACAATCTTTAAAAGTTTTTAATTTATTAAATAATTCAAAGACATATTTCACAACAAAAAGTTTGTAACTGGAGTGTGGCCTCATGCGTTCATCACTGGATTTTTGTAAGGACATCCGAGTGTCCATCCCAGCAATGAGGCATGTCATCACATTTCTTGATGATCCATTGATGCGTGTGTGTGTTGTACGTCAATTCAACCATGTGAGTATGTGAACTCTCCAGTGTGGTTTCTGCCCTGACTGTTTGTCCTTTAAGTGCCATTTTATAATCGGAATCTTCAATAAAAAGTTCGTGATAATGCCTACCAGGAGGATCTTTGGTAGCCAAGCTTGTTCTGAAATGTGCATCGGGTGCTTGCTGGAATGCCGATCCGGTAACTGTTGGGGGTTCCTGGAAAAGGTTCGAGTATGCGCCGATATGGTTTACCATTTCCTTCATTGCATCGACCTCTTTCTGTATGCTTGAACCCTCCCGGTGAATGGGTGTAATTGGCCACCTTTGACGAAGTACGCCGACTCCAGGAATATTTGGGAGGAAAACGCGTACACCAGATGCACTGAGTTTTTTAACGTTTTTGTGGTGGTCAAGGACACCCACTGAGTTTTTGACAGTGTCAGCGGCATCGTGATTTAGTTCGCTTCCACTAAAGAACGCTGTTGGTGTCCAGTAGTAATTAGCAAAGTTTGATCCGTTGTACGCGTTTGTTACATTGAATGCTCCATTTCTATGATCTTTCATTGGTATATATCTCGAATTCTTGCCTGTCCAATACGGTATGTCGTAAGGATTCCATGAACTCAACGGAGTCAGATATATTATCTCTAAGGGGATAGCATACGTGTATCTAGCCTCAACTTCTTTACACGCTCTGTAGGTTCTATTGACTTTATGGCAGTCTGACATGTGTATTGCTGCAACACGGCTGTTAGTTGTCTTTGCCACCCACAAGTTCTTATCTGCGAACCCTCTGTTGTTTGATTTTATTCCCATGGCACCTTTATCGTCAAATTTGTAACGTCTGTGGTAGAACCCGGTGTTTAATGGTTTTGATGTTGCAATGAAGGGGTCAAGCATTTGTAGACCGAAAGTATCATCAAATATGTTGGCTTTATAATTATCTTTACCTGGAATCTGGTTCATAATGGTATCCATGATGCTATGGGAGTACGTTCGGTCTTTGAAAACGCCATAACCCTTCTCTGGCAAGAACTGAGCAAACCTATAGCTGCTTGCAACATGAAATCTTGCAGATCTTGTTAGTGCAAATTTGGTAAGGTTATATTTATGCGCAAGTCTTGAGGCTAAATCGTCAACAGGTTCAAAAACTTTCAGAGGAAGATCGTCTTTAAGAGGATGACAAAGAATCCTGTAGTTCCATTGTGCATATTCTGGGGTACCATTTCTCATATTTATTATTGTCGTTGGTAGGAATGAGAAGTTTTCTAAATTGTGCTTGCCACCAGTGTAAGAGGTGAATCTAATTTTTTCTTGTAAATCAAACCAACTTGAAGCATCGATGAAGTGGCGATCGCTAGAGAAGGGCTCGTCTAAGGTTTTCGTGTTCGTTGTCCAGGCACCTTCCATGTAACAGAGAACGGGCTTAAAATATTTACGATAATCGCGGAATGACGGGTTTTGGAATTTCCAAGCCTTAAAATAGTTCCTCATTTCTTCAATCTGCTTTTCAATCGTTGGTTGGCTTTTAACTGATGGAGGGACTTCAGGAAATGGAATATCAACGGTGGCATGGTAAGCAGTTGAATTCGGGTGGGGCATGCGAAGCTTGTAGTCGTTGTGTCGGGTTCGGAATTCTACGCCGTTTAGAACGGCAATTACCTCTCCCATTCCAACCGTTGTGATATAATTTGAATGATCATGGATGGAGTTGATTGACCCCATACTATGTGTGTCCGAGAAGAAGGTCCTAGTTCCTTTATGGTTTAAACGAAGTTGTTTTATGCCTACAAAATAGATTTTAAAGAAAAGTTGCCTAAAAAAATAAAAAGTTTTATTCATCTAAGAAATGGATCCCTAGTACCTATAAGAATAAATATATAAAGCTTACAGGGAAAATAAAATAAAATTATTGAACATTTAACAGAACACCATCACAAACGGTTTCAAATTAATAGCTTTGTTTCTTATACTAAGTACATTAATTTTAAGCGACATATGGATTTTGTACCTGAGTCACCATCGCTTCGAATGCGCTCTTCAACAAAGAGTTGTTGCATCATCAGTTGTCTTGCCAAGTTTTCAATGCCACTTTCCAGCCTTTTGATCCGCGCCT